GGTGACCTCTTTCGACTTCATCCGAATGAAGCATTCGATCTGACATCAGTTCCCAGCCGATGCACTTCTAAACTTCTCCTAGTGGAGAGTAGACCCAGAAAAGAGGGAAGTTTTTGCATTAGGATAGATTTACAATCCCACAAAAAACACAAACGCCACTGATGCTTCGAAACTTACAGCCTGAAGGATTCTACTGAAGTCGGAACAGAGATGAATTCAAGTGAAAGGCAAACTTCCAAAGACGCCAAATATTTCTGCGTAGGTTCTTAAATATCTAAGTTTTGTAAAAAAATACCTGACGAAGAAGAATTCTTGTAAATTTTTGAAGTGAACACCTTCAATGTCACTACTGATAGCTCATTTCTTTGTTTTCTAACATGTTTTCAAGTATTGGTTTTGTAGGGATTTTGTTTGATTGCATGGAGGATTTCATCATGAGCTGACATCATTTAGAGAACCACTGGAAAACCTGGGAGTACTGGACAGCTGTTTCGTCCTAGTTTGGGACTCTTCAGCAGTGCGCACCCACCAGGATTAGAACCCTGGGCCTTCTGGTTACAAGGCGAGCTCGGATGCTTACTAGTGACTGGCCCTATTCAGGCAGTTAACCTGGGGTTCTAGTGGGAAGCCGTGACCAGTGGGGTACAGCAGGTTGAAGATGACGCAGTAACTCACCGTCGAAGACATTGCGAAATGGTCGCGCTATGTCGTGAATTGACAGAAGTTAGAATTCAAGAACCATTAGATCGGGTCCCATTGGCTCAATGGTCTACGAGCTCGCCTTGTAACCAGAAGGTCCTGGGTTCGAATCCCGGTGGGTGCGTACTGCTGAAGAGTCTCAAACTAGGATGAAACAGCTGTCCAGTACTCCTCGCAGGTTTTCCAGTGGTTCTCTAACTGATGTCAGCTCATGATGAAATCCTCCATGCATTCTAACATGTTTATCAATTAATTTACAAATGAAAGTATCATTATTTATTATGACTGTATTTTCACGGCTACTATACCTCTATAGTCAGGCCATCACATAAATAGGTGTTTTGTTGAAATGTGTCCAGTTAATGGAGGTGCTATGCCATTTTAACACCTTAAATTGTTATTGTCTACCAGTGGGAGAATCTCTACCCATGAATTATCACTCTCTCCTCCATCTGAGTATACAATACACTTAACTGATCTCTAATTGCTCTCTCTTTCTCTGCCTCCGTGACACATACACTCTCTGATTGTTTTTGTGTGTTTTTCGCTTCCCTTAGGACTCCATCTATTCATTTATCACAAAGTTATGCATATCAATATCAACCTGCATTCTACTGGGGCTAATTCTTGCTTATCATGTTTATGTGATCAAGGTGAGTTGTAGTCAGTGATACATTTTATTTCATGCGTCTTCTATTAAATAGGTGTATTTACCCCTTAATTATTATTATTATTGTTATTATTGCTATTATTATTAATTATTTAACCTTTATCATCTCATCAATCTTATAAAGTTTATGGAATGGATTCATGTTCAAAACAACTGTGTCAAATTTATCATCACTAGTTTTACTAATGTCTAAAATGAGTGAGGACAATTAAACAATGTGGGATTATAGGCATTTATAGGCATTTTTTTCACGAGTTGATCCCGGATTGATATCAGTTAGAGAACCCTTGAAAACCAGCCCACAGAGAGTACTGGACAGCCAGCTGTTTCATCCCACTAGTTCGGGAATCATTGGCAGTACACACCCATCACCAGGGGTTTGAACCCAGGACCTTCTAGTTACAAGGCAAGCTGGCTCGTATACCATTCAGCCACTGGGACCCCACTCAATGGCTCATGAATTCTAACTTCTACCAATTCGTGATTTAGCGCGACCCCAACCATTGTCGCTGGTGGGACATCCATCCACACACGTGACATCTAATTGAACCTCACTGGTCACGACTTCTCACTAGAACTGCAGGAAACTCCATCCTGTAGCAAGTCACTAGCGAGCATCAGATTAATTTTCTATAGTTTGGTTTGTAAGGGTTTGTCATGTTTTTACGAGTTGATCACGGATTCGATGGCCAGCCCATGATTTCTAACTTCTACCAATTTGTGATTTAGCGCTACTGGCACCAACCAATGTCATCTGCGTACTGCTAATGATTCCCAAACTAGTTGGATGAAACAGCTGACTGTCCAGTACTCCCTGTGGGCTGGTTTTCAGTGGTTCTCTAACTGATATCAGTCCGTGATCAACTTGTAAAAACAAATCTAATCCTTACAAACCAGCTATAGAGAATTATAGCCATTTAGCTGATTAATTACTTATATTATTAAAACAATTAGTCCCTTTGATAAATTTGAATACGGCATTAAGAAGATAAATTTCGCGAGATGATATTATTTCGTAGTTTCTTTACAACCGCTTTACAACTAACATGATGGAAGCACTTTGGATTAATCACATACAGCCTAAACTGTGTGTACAAAAATCAATAGACTTCATTCTTCGCCTACCCTGGACTACTTGACCTATCTAAATATGATTGGTCATTAGTATGTACTTTTGTTTTTATTTAACTGAGTAATTGTCATGAACATTATTTTATTATTGTTAGCCATGTTAGTTGTAAAGCGGTTGTAAAGAAACTACGAAATGACGATATCATCTCGCGAAATTTGTCTTCTTAATGCCTTATTCTAATTACTTTTAGTTTAGATTACGAACGGACATGGATTAAGCAAACACAAGAATCAGTAGGCTACTTACTGTTGGGTGTATGTTTCGTTCTTGTCTATGACTCATCGACATTTCTCATCGATAACTTAAGTAGGGATCCAACTCTCTGGTTACAAGGTTAGTTCACTAAGGATTAATTCACTTGGATAGAAACTAATAGGCCATTAGGAGGCGTACTTGAAGTTCTAGTTAGAATCAATAGTAAATAGGAAGTGTTTTACTAGTATCACTGTACTCATAGACAAAGAGATTCAACCTATGGGAGTTAAAGAACCCTGATTCCAAAGTTGTAGTGCCTTACTGTCTTTATGAATCAGACTGTTACGACCGAAACCGACTCATTATGTTCTGATCGCAAGAAAACGATCTCTTCGACTTATTGTATAGTTTGATCAAAACTTCCACCAGACACTCACAGTCATGAAATACTCCAAAGACACCAGGAAGATGATTACTAATTGTTAGAATCTATCTGTGGTTCTATTTGATAATAACAATGACATCAAAAAACTCAAAATTACCGTCAAGCACCTGGATAGAGTCTAGGTGACTTTCTAAGTGCAACACAAGTACAGTAAAATAAAATTTATCATCCGAGTGCCTGAGAATCAAATAGAATACTCATAAAAAAAGTGGGTTCAAAATCTTGTCCAGAAGAATCTGGACATCGCCGATGATATATGTCTGATTTACCAGAAACTGGAAGATATGCAAGCGAAAAGCAACAAGTTGGCAGAAGAAGCATCAAAGATAGGATTTCCTTCAGGTGAACATAGAGAAAACAGAGCTGATGAAGATTCCTGGGCAACACCACCAACAGCAACAACAACAACAGACAGCAATCAGCATAAATAAAAAGGAACCTGAAAGAAACAACCTCTTTCACCTACATACCTGGGAAGCATCGTTTCAACTACAGGCACACGGAACTGATGAGGATATCAAAGCAAGAATCAGAAAAGCAAGACAAGATTTCACTACTCTCAAGTCTGTGTGGAGGTCAACAGCACTCAGAATCAAAAATAACATCCGAAATTTCAACTCCAATGCGTGAAGTCAGTGCTACTCACTATACGGATAAGAGACTTGGACTGCGCGTCATAAAGAGCATCTCAAACAAACTACAGACCTTCATTAACAGTTGTCTTCGCTCAATACTTCGCTCAAGATCAGATGGCCAGTCAGAAAAGATCAGCAACAGAGATCTCTGGCCATGAGCGAACCAACCGAGCAGGAACCGATTGTGAAACAAATAGGCAGGAAGAAATGGAGATGGATTGGCTGGCTATACTCTGAAGAAACCATCAAGTGACATCATTAGACAAGCCATTGCTCGAGTGGAACCCGAAAGGGAATCGGCGAGTTGGTCGTCAGTGCGAGGGTGGGTGACTTGGAGGAGGTTATGTGAAGGGATGATGAAAACGTGTGGACAGACTTGGAGCCATGTGGAGACTCTAGCAGAGAACCGAACGCAATGGAGACGCACGGTTGAAGCCCTATGTTCCTCTAGGAATTAAAAGAAACAATAATAATAATAACAAAAGTTATAAGTTGTCACAAACGATTGTTCGGAAAGAGTTACGCAATATCATGAATAGTTTGATGAAAGGCTTGTGCTCAGGGTGTAAATGGAAACAAAATAACTTACGGAATTACGCAAGATTTTTATGTACTTAGAAAAGATAAGCAAACAACCAAAAGTTAAGTCAAATCAACGGAGTTGTTGCCATGATAATAAAAGTGGCTGAATAATTTCCTTTTGTATACATAGTTCTGGTTCTTCTAAATGAATGGCTAGGTCTTCTGAAATGCAAAGAAGATGGAAACGTATTGTCTTTGGCAGGTTGTTCTTCACTTTGTAGATTACTTTGAAGGAGTAAGCGTTTGTTGAGATGGAATGACCAGTGGTGACGAGTTGTTTGATTTTTTGACCCTTTTTGACAGGATGCGCTTCGAAACGACCGATGTACTTGGCTACACAGCAACATGTGAAATTGGTATAAGCTGTGTGAGCGTAATTTTCTGAGCAGTGTTTATAAGGTTAGGAGCATTCTGTCGAGGGACGATGTAGGTGGTTTGAAATTATTCTGTGAATAAACTTGATGGTTGGTTTAGACTGTATGCAGCTGATGAGAAGCTCAAGAAACGACAGATAGTACCATCTTATTCTACATTAAGGGGGAATGAATGTGTCAAGTTATATCACTAATTGTTTGGTTTTTGTTTAAAATTTCAACTGAGTGACATCGTTTTTTTTTGCTTATTTTTGTTTCCAAATTCTAGATATTTTCTTGTGATGATTCTATTGAAGACTGGCGAATGGCAGTTGACTATAATCGTGTATTTCAAATGACTCTTGAAGTACTTATTTGTATGATACATCCATTCCCCGGATCATATCTTATCCAATTCCCTATATCGTCTTCCTTTGTTGGTCCAGGCACTGAAATCTACTCACCCCTATATCATAATTCACAGTCTGTAAAATCTATGAATATAGACAGTGGAACACCGACATTGTCTGTAGCATCAACAACAACAACAACGGGTGGATCAACTACAACTACACCTTCACCAAGACCAATACTGTCTAAAATGAGCATAAATAAAACGTATACGCCTAGACCTTCAGCTTCTCTCTCCTCTATACCATTAGCATCGCATACCTCAATGGATCGTATTCCTACAGGTTCAATTAAAATGGTCTCCATTGATCTGATATTATCAGTTCCAATGTTTTTTAGATTATATCTACTATTTCGTGTTATGCTGTTACACTCAAAATTGTTTACAGACGCTGGATCACGTAGTATTGGTGCAATGAATAAAGTGAATTTTGATACAAAATTTATTTTTAAAACACTTATGACAATGTGTCCTGGTAAACTTCTATTGGGCTTTATTTTATGCTTATGGATTGTTTACTCGTGGACGTTAAGAGCATGTGAAAGGTGAGTTATACCTGCTTATTTATCATTGCGAAACTTTTATTACATTATTATTATTATTGCTCCCTCTATTTCCTAGGTGAATACATGGCTCCAGCCGCACGTCTCCATTGAGTTAGGTTCTCCACCAACGTTTTCACCTGACTCCACGTCTGCCCACATGTGACGCCACACTCGCACTGACGACCAACTTACCAATTCCTATTCAGGTACTAATTGTCCAATGGCCTGTCGGGTGATATCACTTGATGGTTGTATAAGAGTATGGCCAATCCACTTCCACTTCTTCTTGCATATTTGTTACACAATCGGTACCTTTTCGGTTGGTTCGTTGCCAAAGATCTCTATTGCTGATCATTTCTGGCTAACCATCTGATCTTGAGCGAAGTATTGAGCGAAGACAGTTGTTGATGAAGGTTTGTAGTTTGTTCGAAGTGCTCTTCATGACACTCCGAATCTCTCATCCATAAAGTAGCACTGAAAACTTTGAAAGTCCGGATCATATTTTTCATGCTGAATGCTGTTGATATCCACACAAATTTGAGCGAAATGAAAGCTTGCTTTGCTTTCCCGATCCTCGCTATGAAATCCTCACTGGTTCCGTTTGTAGTTGGAACGATGCTTCCCAGGTAGGTACGTAGGTAGGTAGGTGAAGGAGGTTGCTTCCTTCAGATTTCTCCCATCATGCTGGCTGGTTGTTGTCTGTTGTTGTTGCGGATGCTGTTGGCCACGAATCTTCATCACCTCTATTTTCTCTATGTTCACCTGAAGAAAGTCTTATCTTCTCTGGATGCTTCTATTGCCAATTTGTTGCTTTTCACTTTCATATCTTCCAGTTTGTGGGAAATTAGACATATATACTATCGGCGAAGTCCAAATCCTCAAAGTATTTTGTGTGGGCCCATTTTGTGCCTGCTTCCACGCTGCCCACTATCTGTTACATTATCCAGTCTACCACAATCAGGAAACTAATCATTAGAGACAGTAGGCAGCCACCTTGTCTTCACTTCGAAGGATTCCGTGAGTTTTCTGTTGTGGATAACTTGGTATGCAATATTGTCGTACAACTGTTGAATGAAATGTCTAATTGTTGGCGGCACCCCTTAATAGTAGTGAATTAGTTGTCGAATCACCTTTTAGGCGATGCCATCGGAGGCTTTTTCCGAGTCAGTAAATTTGAGGTAGACAGCTGACAGCCATTCCTAGCTCTGTTCAATGATGATCCGTTGTGTTGCGATTCGATCGATGCATGACTTGCTCCTCCTCAATCTGGCCTGTTCCGGTCAACGTTTTTCATTCAGGGCATGTTTGATTCTCTCCAGGATCATGTGGCTTAGTATTTTACTTGGAATGGATAGGAGCATAATGCTGCGCCAGTTCTTCCATTGACCTAAGTCCCTTTTCTTTGGTAGTTTGAATAAGTGTCCTTTCTTCCAATCCACAGGCACCTTACCCTCATTCCAGACCTTTTCCAGTAGTGATGTAATCAAGTCCGCTGATATCTCTGGGTCCATTTTCAATGCTTCTGCTGGGATTCCGTCTGGTCCCACTGCTTTTCAAGTGTTTAGCATCTTGATTACATTCATGATTTCAGTTCTCGTTGGAGGGTTCTGCTTCCACTGTTGGTATTATTGGGCGTGTTATAGGTGATGATCGATTTAGAAGTCTTTTAAAATGTTCAGCCAAGCGTTTCCTTCGCTCCTTCACTGGCTTGATTTGTGTTGAACGTTTCACCGATAGGAACCTGGTTGTTTGCTAGAGTGTTGCAAGGTCTCCTTTGCTTGCACTGCAGCTTGTTCTGCTTCACTTGCCATAGCTTCATAATATTGTCTTTCGTCTTCTATGGCACTCTTCTTTACTGTATTGTTCAGTGTATTGTTTTTGTTGCTCGTCGATGCACGTGATAATCCTAGATTCTCTAGTTGGACTTGCAGATAGAATTCGTGCCTTTTGATCAGAGCTAAGGCAGCTAGGCAGCTCATAATCATATGTTCACTTCATCTGGCATGAAATTATCACATTACATGCAGAAATAAGAGGTCTCCTTCTGTTAATCCTAGGTATGGAGGTAGATAGTAATGTTAGCAGATAGACAGATAGATCACGGATAGATAGATAGATGGATAGAACACTGTTAAATCATGTTGATTGGTGTTACTCCTCATGTGACTGAGTCAACTTTGATTGGACATACAAACACTAGTAACTAGTGTGACGTGTAGAGTCCCTGGTATTGGTGTAGACTGAATTCACCATCAATCAGGTTTGAAATGTGGCCACAATTCTAGGTAGCTCACCATCACGGTGCACAGTGATTTAATGATATAAGATTGTTGGAGGCGATCAGCAGGAAGACTTCAACCTAGGTTTCGTGCTAGTTGGCACTTGTCAGCAAAGCGTATCTGCAACATCGAAGAAACACGTATCCCTTCATGGATTCCTTCAAGGTTGAAGATACACCTTGCTGAAGGGTGCCAACTAGCACGAAACCTAGGTTCAAGCCTTCCTGCTGATCGCCTCCAACTATCTTATATCATCAGACTGAGTCAACTGTTGATCAAACGGTCTGCGCATTCACCTCGGCAAGTTTGAAAGAATAACGCAGAAGGAACGAACTCAAATGAACTCGAAGGATTTTTACAATATTTCATTCTTTTGCTTCCCAAGTGAAGCTCAGAGCTTCAAGTCTGCGCTTTGACTTTTTATTGGTAGTGGAACGACAGAAGACTAGGGTCAGGCAAGCGATCATTTATTGAGAAAATCAACGGATATTTGTATATTTTTATGTACACTACTGTTAGCGGAGAAGCAGCGTCTTCTGATTGGTTGTTTTCTTGCTGAAGGTTATTCTGCTATTGCTTTTGTGACCGTTTCTCAGAAAGTTAAGCCATATATCTGCGAATCGTATTTGCTCACGTTAAGTCTGCTGTAATTGGTTGGTAAGTTCCTCAAGGTTAAGCTTTTTTAATGTTTTCCCCATGACCCCGATTTGGGACGAAAACACTGAAGTAAATTGTTGTCTACAATTTTGGGTAGCATACAGCACGACACCACAGTAGTAGTGCTTTAATTTGACTGGGTATAGTTGCCAACATCTCAAACAATCTTCTGTCTTTACCAGGCTTGCCAACAGCTAAGCGAGGTTTAGAAGTACATCGGTCGGGAATTATACTTAGTTCACGTAGATGACTGGCAAGTACTCTACCGTTGAACTACCAAACTCTTCAGACTGAAAATGAACCCTCAAGAAGACAAAGATTAAGGGTTAGAACTATTATTATCGTAGTGTGAACAGAAGGAGAAGCGAAGCGGTTTTGCGATACTTGGAATGCTGAAACGGCATAGAATCATAAAGAGACAAGTGGTTCTTTCTCTATTCCAATGTATAAAGCTTCAACAATTCAAATAAGGCCGACACGAAACATATTCATCATACAGAAAAATTAAAAAAAAGTGATTCTTCTAGAGGTAAGGCGATCCACTGTCTAGAAGATAATGAACTGTAGATCTCCTTAACGATGCAATTCCATTTCTTCCTGATTATGCAGGGAAGTGTTCTTACCACGTTTTTTGGACAAAATCTGTTGTAATGTTGCAAATATATCCAATTCTGTAGCATTAGGTGTACCCGGTGGTCCACTAGACTCAATTATTCCACGGTAATGACATAAAGGGACACAACTCTGATTATTTTAGTCCTATTTAGGTAACCTTGATCTGAATTGCAGGTACATTTAGTTGGCATGATTATACCTGAAATTTTCACATAAATCATCATTTTACTCTGAGTAAATCCAACGTTTCTTTCAGCAAACTGGTCCGAACTTCTTCAGGGAAATTAATCAAAATTAAACATAACAGAAGTTTATATTTGTATAAAAAGGACATCTCTTGTTTTTTAAAATCTTTGTCCAATCATATAAGTCATGAACTGTGATCAAAATCTGATCTCATACTAACAGCTACACTAGCCTACTTTTGTTAAACGCTGGAAACAGTGTGTACTTTTGCATCAGAATTTTACTGATTACGTTCGACTAAAGGTTCATGGTTGTAGATAATTGAATATGAAATATTACCAAAAGCAAGGTCTTATCATTGTGTGTCAACTACTGAAATTTAATTATAATTTATTCGATCTATTCCACAATGCTCAAACGTTTTAATGACATTAGTGAAAAATACGTTCAAGTCTGTGGAGGTCTTTGGAACCACCTTTAGGTATTGCTTATGCTCTTTCACTCTTCTGCTTACCTGTCTGGAAGTTTCTCCTATATATAAGGCGTCAAAATCCCCATAATTGTTCTGGTGAACATAGTTCTGTTGGTCGTCTTATTCAAATTTATCCAAAGCCTTCACCACTGGTGAGCGTAAGGTGCCAGTTACATGAAAATACACTCTTATGCCATGATTGTTAAGGATTCGCTTTATCTCATCCGATGTTTCTTTGCTCTAAGGCATCATCCCTGTGCTAACCCAGATCTTAGTAACAGGTTTCAATTCATTTTTACTTTCACATTTTAAATAATTTTTGTGACAGTCATTTGATTCAAGAGTGGACTGAACCAATTTTAGTCCCCTGTTGATTTATTCCTCCTTATTAACTAGACGACGTTCGGCTGTGTCAATCAGACTCCTGGCCACAGTTATTTTCGGGGTAAGCGGATGTGCTGAATAGTAGTCTAGGCATCTATCCGAATTTGACAGCTTTCTGAAAATGTTTATTTTAAATTTACCATCTGGTTTTCTTTGTACTAAACAGTTCAGGAACGCCAAATCATTTTCGTCCGATTCAATCTCTTTTGAAAACCTAATAGTTTCTGACATATTGTTTATTAATTGAAAACGTTCATATGATGGAGAAGATTTGTAGCTCAGGTGGATGATTTTGATCCCTCAGCTGGATGGAAAAATCTAAAAGCTCACTTCAATTCGAATTAAAGTATGACTTGAAGATGTTGCCTAGTGGAACAATGAAAGCCTCACAAATAAACCGTCTAGCT